CCCCAAAACCCCAAAACCCCAAAACCCCAAAACCCCTAAGCTCCTTTCCCATTGAACTTCTACATAAAAATCTACGACTCTGACGCTGTATCGATAATATCATCTTCGCCGAGCATCATGATCTTGAATTCATCGTAGGAGATTCTTCCGTCCTTAGCATGGTCGTGTTGTTCGTAAATTTCTTTGATTTCTTGTTTAGTTACCTTTTTATCAAGTCTTTCAAAAGCTTCTTCTAGGTTGTCCTTGGTGATGTAGCCACTGTTGTCAACATCAAATTCTTTGAAAAGAACCTTCAAGCGGGAATCGTTTAGGATTTTATTTAGTCTTCAGTGTTGCTGCGATGAATTCGGAGTAGTTTATTTGATTGTTGCCTTTGTAATCAATCTCAGAGATTATTTTATCAATTTCTTTGGCTGGCACATTTAAGTTTGACTTTTTCATGGCTGTCGAAAGCTCTTCAGCATCAATGTACCCAGTAAAATCAGTATCGATTGCTTCGAATTGTTTCTTAAGTTTACCAATTTCTTTAGCAGTAAGGAGTTTTACTAATACACTCATAGCTGTTTTCTTAAGCATCGAGGTACTTTTAAACTCTTTAAGATTTTGAAGAAGATCAAGATCAAGAGCATCACCTTCTTCTCCTTTAAGTTTTTCTGCAATTTCAAACCATTCATGCTACATTATAAACCTATTTTCTTACATTTAAACACTTCTGGGCAGAGAGTCTCTTCTTTGGGTTCATTTCTAGCATCTTCGTTACTAGATCCTTAGCTTCATCTGACACTGAGTCCCATTCCTTATGTTTCATTGAGTACTTGCCTTCAGAGATTTTAGCAAAAATGTCCATTGCGTTTTTACCAGAAAATGGAAGGTATCCTCAAAGAAGGATATATCTAAAACAGTTAGGATATTCTATTTAAAAGCTTACAGGATAACTCCAAGGGACCATATGTCTCATTTTAAGCCATATTCTCCTTCAAGGACTTCTGGTGCTACATAGTAGGGAGATCCTACGACAGACTTCATTCCTTTGATGTCTTTTTGTTTAGAGAGTCCAAAGTCAATTAGCGTTACATGCCCTTCTTTGTTAAGCATGATATTTTCTGGCTTAATGTCTCTGTGAGCAATTTTATAGGAATGACAGTGCACTATTGCCATGAGGAGCATTTTCATGATATCAGCCGCTTCTGACTCTTTGAAATTCCCTAATAGTTACTAATGAAAAGAGCTACCATCTTTGCTGACTTTATCATGAATGTAGGAATATAATTCTCCTCCTTCTCATAGTTCAGTCACAATGTAGAGGTAGTCATTGTTTTCAAACATTTCGATATATTTCACGATATTAGGATGATCTAAATTTTTCAAAACTGCTATTTCATCAAAGATCTCTTCAACAACTCCTCTATAGAACAGTTAGAGCTCTTTATTAAGTAAGGGGCTTGAGTAGGAATACTTACTCTAATTTCTTTTTAGAAATAACCTTGATAGCTGATTTATGTGTCTTATCATTCACCAGAGATGCTTCGAAGACTTTTCCAAATCCGCCACTTCCGAGAACTTTGTTTGAAATTTTGTATTTCATTTTGAAGTCTTGCAGGCCCATTCTTGACTATATAAAGATGCAACCACACTTAAATTGATGCAGAAAGATTTTAAGGGGAAAAGGTAGCGAGGTTCTAAGGATTTGACGATTTTTAAAGAAATGAGCTAATTAAGCAAAATTTAATTCAAAATGTACTAAATTTTTTGAGAAGAATGCGAAGGTTAACGAAGGATTTAGTTATAAAATTCTCTCAACAATTTCAACCTTTCAGTTCTTTAACAATAATATTTTTGGTGAATAAGTTACTATCCAAAACTTAAAAGGCTCTATTTCAACCCAACCCTCATTTCCTTTACCACCACTCCAATCCCAACCTCTTCCTTACAGCCCTCTACATTCTTTAAATTCCCCATAAGCACAACCCCATGCTCCTCGCTTGGCTATTCCTTCATGAACTAGCAGCTGTTCCCCTTAATTTGGAAACGCCCAAAATTCCATTGGATAAGGCCAAGAACTTGAACTTACCTTTCTTCTTTCTCTGACTATTTTCTTGGTTGGCTTAGTGCTCGAGCTAACTCACCCCATTACTATGTTATTCAAATGAATTATTTATTCTAAATTATTCTTTATTTGGGGTTTTGGGGTTTTGGGGTTTTGGGGTTTTGGGG